GTGAGGGGGAGAGGTTGAGGGGCAAGGGCTGAGAGCAATAGTACGCAAGGAAATAAAGGAAGGAGTGAAGAATGCAGGAAGGAAAGCAGAAAGGGAGAGAAGGAAGGAGGGAATTAGGGAGGGAACAGGGAATGGTAAGGTGGACGGAGGAAAGGGGGCAGAGAGGCAAGCGGAGAAAGAAGGAGGCGAGTGGAGGGAGAAAGACAGAGAAATAGGAAGAGTGAGGATGTGGGGGTGGAGACAGAAAGAAAGAGAGAGAGAGAGGGGTTGGAGGATTGAAGAGGTCGGGAGGGAACAAGATATGGAGGGGGAGCAGCATGAAGGGACATGGTTAACTCTGAGGGGACTCTGGCTGTTGGAGTGATGCTGTGAGCTGATGACATTCCTGAGTGAGTGTAAGACTGGGCTCCGAGTTTAGTCTATTTTGAACTTTGATGCAACTGATGGTCCCATCTGGAACTTCCTGGATCTTAAACCCCAAACAAGCAACACAGAAAATCAAACACTCATTAATCCATAAAGAGGCAGCAACCGGAAGACAAACAGGATGTGAACAATGTTCTCAGTCCCTGTGGAGCAGGACTGATAGTTTTTTTTAAATTGCTGCTTGTGTTTTCATCTTGTAAATGATGGTCTGTGTGAACAGGAATAAATTACACGGTTTCTGGAAGGTGTGTTTTTAAAATTCCACTCTCTGGATCTGACAATCAGACAAAATGGTGGGATTTACTGGGAACGGTTCCATCTGCCAGAATATATTTGTTCCCCAGCTGATAGTTTACGCCAAGAGTGTGTTTGTGTGAGGGAGAGAGAGAGAGAGACAGAGTATGAGAGAATGTGGGACAGAGAGAGTGTGGGAGAGACAGTGACTGTGAGAGGGAAAGAGTGAGTAAGAGAGAGAAAGAGTATGTGAGTGAGAGGAAGAGTGAGAGAGAGGAAGTATGACGTGAGCGAGCAAGAGTGTGTGTGACAGAGTGACAGAGAGAGTGTCTGTGGGTGCGTGTGCGCGTGTGTGTGTGTGTGTGTGTGTGTGTATGTGTGTATGTGTGCCCGTGTGTGTATGTGTGCCCGCACATGTTTGGGGAAGTTGGTGGGGAAGGCTGGAGAGGAATGGCATCGCATAGAATATGAAAGTGAGGTAATGAAGTTGTCCTGGCAACCCATCCAACACACAAATAGCAATGATTCAATTAACCTAGAGATACGATGGGCTGGGCAGCTAACTTCAGCAATTCCAAGATTCAAATTGGTTTGGCCTACAAGTACTGTTCTCAGGGAGCTGACACCCGGAGAGGAATGTTAATTTGAATAATGCATAGCCAACTCCTCTCACTGATGCACACATCTTTTTCAATTTCCTCCCAGGGTCTGATCTCTCCCAGTCTCACTGTCTATTCCTCCAGTATATCCTTCCTCAATGCCCAGGCAGTGAGACATTTGTCATTCTTGTATTTGTCCTGATGAGTGCCAGGTGGAAAGCTTCAGTGACACACCTCCCAGGGATATTTAACTGTAGAAACAATCACCAACGAGGTCAGTTCTCGCCATACCAGCTGCCCGCAGTCCTTTTTTTTAAATCATTCACAGGATGAGGGTGTTGCTGCCAGGCAGCATTTATTGCCCATCCCTAATTGCCCAGAGGACAGTTAAGAGTCAACCACATTGCTGTGGGTCTGGAGTCATATGTAGGCCAGACCAGGTAAGGATGGCAGTGTCCTTCCCTAAAGGACATTAGTGAACCAGATGGGTTTTTCCCAACAATCGACTATGGCTTCACGGTCATCATTAGATTCTTAATTCCAGAATTCAAATTCCACCATCTACTGTGGCAGGATTCGAACCCGTGGCCTCAGAACATGCACGGAAATGGGTCAGCCATGGCTATGGAATGAGGGTCTGGTTACAATCAGTTAACGTGGCCCTTTAGGCAGATTGAGTCTTGGTTTGAACAACATGGGAAGGGACAGCTGTACAAAAACACGGTGAACTTAATGCAGTGGGAGGACCTTACGGTATTCTCAGGCAGTGCTGCTTTTCCTGTATTACAACAGCGATTGCACACCAGACCGACATGATGTTATAAAGTCACAAAAGGCTGTGAAGAAATGCAAGTTCCTCTTTTTCAGAATCTGCTTGCTGCCTTAGTCAGCTCCCAGTGAGCAGAGGAGAGACCTGGGGAGTAATAGAGAGGGTGAGGAGGTGCCATGGTCAGTGTCAGTGGAAGGGGGGGCATTATCCTTCTGACACATATCCACAGGGGCAACAGGTGACTAGGCCCCAAGTCCTTACTCCTAGTCCCAGGCTTTGGGCCTAAATTGGCAAAAAGACAGATAAACCTGAGAGAACCAGAGAATACTGTCATATAGAAAATAAATTATGTTCAGCTAAACACTGCAATCCTGAAAACCCCACTGTTTCTCTGCAAGTCCCTCTAAAACAGGGAGCATGGTGTTGACCCGCTTCCTGTGGTGGGAAAGAGTAACAGGAAGCCAAGGGCGCAGCTAGGGTCAACGATAAATGGTCAAGGCAACCAAAGGCAGCATGTCGACTCAAAGCACAAGTCTTGACAACCTGACAATCTTCTGTCATTTTATTTCCCCAGTAAGAGACTAAAGGGAAGCAACGGAAGCACTGGGAGGTCATGTGGGTAAAGTTAGTGTCGAGGCAACAACAATAACAACTTAGGCACAACCTGCTCCATTAGCATCCTTAAAGGTAGTGTTTAAGAAAATAACAGGAGCAGTAGGCCATTCCCCCCCTCAAATCTGACCCATCATTCAACATGGGGCTCATCTGCCCCAGACCTCAACTCCCTCTTTGTGCCAGCTCCTCACAGCTTTCAACTCCCCGATATTTCAACAATCTTCCTCCTTTTCGCGTACTCTCAGTGATCCAGCCCCCACAACTCTCTGCAGTAGATAACTTCAGGCATGCACTGCCCTCTTGAGAGAAGAAACTCCTTCAAGCTCAGTTGTAAATGTGTGTTCAGTATTCTGTAGTTATGTATCTGGCTCGAGATTTTCCGCTTGTGGAAATGTCTTCTCAACAGTGAACCTGTCAAAACCCCTCAGAATTTTGTATGTTTCAAAAGGATTGCGCCTCATTCATCTAAACTCTAATGATTAAAGGGCTAACCTGTTTAGCTGTTCTTGATAAGTCAACCCTTCATCCCAGGAATCAGCCGAGTAAATCTCTGTTGTTCATGTTAGAATGGTGATGCATTGCTGTGGGGATTAAGGACTCTCAGTTGTTGCAGGGGGTCACACCCTCACTGGGTACATGACCCTGTGCTCTCTCACAGTATTTACTCCTCCCTTTTCACTGGTGACTCTGTGTTCCCAAAGGACTTGATCAAGATTCAAATCCTTCCGTATTCCCTGCTGAATCCCGCACAGTCATACATGGGTCATGGGCAGAGAACATCTCCCAGAGAACAGCTGTGGGTCACAGCCCTCTACCACCCTCCCAACATCCACTTTATCCAGGCCATTCAGTATTCTCTAAGTTTCAATTAGATCCCCCCTCATCCTTCTAAACTCCATCAAGTATAGACCCAGGGTCCTCAAACATTCCTCATATGTTAAGTTTTTCATTTCTGGGACCATTCTTGTGAACCTCCTCTGAACCCACTCCAGGGCCAGTACATCCTTCCTGAGATATGGGTCCCAAAATTGCATACAATTCCTTCCTTGGCCTGGATAGAGTGGATGTTGGGAAAATGCTTCCATTGGTAGGAGAGTTTAGGACCCGAGGGCACAGCCTTAGAGTAAAGGGAAGGCCCTTTAGAACGGAGATAAGGAGAAACTTCTTCAGCCAGAGAATGGTGAATCTATGGAATTCACTGCCACAGAAGGTTGTGGGGCCAGATCATTAAGTACATTTAGGACGGAGATAGATAGGTTCTTGATTATCAAGGGGATCAAGGGTTAGGGGGAGAAAGCAGGAGAATGGGGTTAAGGAACTTATCAGCCATGATTGAATGGCGGAGAATACACGATGGGCTGAATGTCCTATATCTTATGGTCTTATGAATGTCAGCCAGACACTTTTCCTCTTTTAGCAGAAGCTTTGTGGGATCTTTAAACCAATATTCCCTCAGCCTGGGCCATTACTCTCCCAGCACGGACTGAGAGACTGGGCCATTACTCCCCCAGCATGGATTGAGACTGGGCCATTACTCCCCCAGCACGAACTGAGAGACTGGGCCATTACTCCCCCAGCACGGACTG